GTTAACATGTCAGTAGGCACAAACATGCTCATAAATAGAAAACTGGGCAACTCCATTTTATCCTTTGTCTGTGCTAAATTAAAGTTTCAAAATTGAGTCTAAATGTAACGTCCGTGACGGTTGAATTCCCCAAAAACGAAAAACAAAATGAGGAATGTACATGTTCGAGTCCTTTTATTTGACAATGTTATGCCAAACATGGGACTTGTCCACCAGGACCACGTAGTCTGGTTGACAAGTAAAAGCCAATTAACACTAATGTATTCTTCTACGGGGATCCTTTTTTACAGTCAATTTTAAGTTAACTTTTCAGGTAAACGAAGGTCAAAAACAAAGAGCTGAACAACAATTTACAAGGAACGCTAATCTTATATTAGCTAAATCCTGTTGAGAACAACAAGGAAGTCAAGAATTGAAACCAAGATTCTGAGCTTCTAGAATCCGTCACAAATGCATACAATGTTGTGCTGTACGCAAAACCAAAGGAATAACCAAGGAGTTTTTAAAATAATTGACATACAGTCACCTCTTTTGGGACTTGGCAGCAGTGTCTTCAGTGTTACGTTTTGCTTTCCCATCCTCCTCTGGAGGTACCTTCTCTTTACGTGCAAAACTGTCAAATTTCTTCAGTTTGGGAAGCCATTCTTTCAGGGCTTTTTCGACAAACGCTGTTTTCATCAAAATAACAGGTCAAAAACAGTTAAGCTGTTTTCTTGCATGCACTACCAATTGTACCATACCCTCGCCGTACTGCATCATCGCATACGGTTAAGCTATGGGAGAAGCCCGCGACTGTTTCAGAGTGTTCTCAAGGCAGCCATATTGAGGTGCCCCAGACATAAGGAAATTTTTGCAAAATAACAGAAAATCAACTTCATTTCGCAAAGGACATAAATTCCATTGTTTGCATGGGACTGAACATCGTGACCTCATTTGAACACACTAGATAGGGCAACTGGCACACACATCGCTTTCAAGGTAGGTAGTCGCCAAACTGAATAGCACAAACATTGCTTTTATGTCTGAATGGTACGTTACAAAGTGACACGTGCTTTGATTTTGTGTTAAATGGTCACTGAACAGAATAGCGCAAACATTGTTTTATGTTAAAGTGGTACGTTACAGAGTAGCACATACTCCGATCTGATGCCAAAATTAATAGTCACTTTACTGGAAAGGACATGTATTGTTTTTTCGGCGGGAAGAATTCTTGTAAAAAGAAACGTAAGTAAAATGTATAGATAAAGTATGAATATTCTTTACGTACATTTTAGACCACCATAATCTTGTTTATCAAGTAACTTCTCAACTGTCTCGCGTTCGGTATCCACCAAAAGGCACTTAATCTGGTCTCTTGAAGCCTCCTTGCAAACAAAATTGAACAAGCTTTCTGGCAATGGTATAGAGGGTATGGCCGCACTGGGATATGAATTTTATCGTCGAGTGCCGATGGTCTCTCTCACTAGTGAAAGCAGCGAGCGAGTGAGAGATGCCATCAGCACGAGAATGTAAAATTCGTATTCCCATTAGCGGCCATGTAATGTTCTGTTTATGACAGTTTAACGGATATTGATGAAACATCAAAATCGAAGACATCTCTATTTCTTGTTCATTTGAAAAGAACCAAAAGCAGTGGTCACCTTAACTAAGGTCGGGACTATTTGCCTCTCAAAAAAAATATTTTCTGTGTTAAAGAGTACAATTCAACTTCGACGACGTTCAAATATTATTGGTTGACAGGTTCGTAATAATTATGTCGTCAATATCTTCACATATGAAAGATACAAATAGTATCTTCTACGGACCTTTCAAGCTTGCCCCATTTCAGACAATGTGATGATACTCTTGAGAATTCTTGCTTTCAAATTTTCAAAATTTAATAGTCGTGTGAATGTGAATGAATAATTTTTAGCTCAATAAAAGAAATATTCTCTAGAGAATATCACGTGGTCTGTAATGGGAAAGCAAACCGCCCAAGCTAAAAAGGTCTATTCATGAGACGAAGAAATCAAATTTTAGGAACAAAAGGATTTTATCATTAACTATATAATAACAATAATTCACCATACATTCAAGAATATCTCTGCATTGAAAATACTGGATTCTTTAAGCTTCCTGAAGGCTTCGCTCACTCGAGACCGCATTGCCCAAAGCTTTCCAGTCAGCGTTCTTTTTTGTTCGAACCTATGTTCAGGCCAGCGGCTCCCCACCTGTAGAATTACAAAACGTAGCCGAGAAAAATACTCCAGTTGTGTATGACAGATAGCGCAAGTTACGTCATTCAACTTACAAATCTAGCTAAGAAAACGGTTAGCTTAAAGATCTGAATTATTCAACAATTTAATGTTTTGCCAGGTATTGAGGTCAGTTAAGCTACTCTATCAAATATCCAAGGAATGGCACGCACCACGATTGGTCATGATAACGTCATAAAATACGCTCCTTACTCTATGAACATGTTTTATCGTGTTTTATAA